ACCAACAGACACATCCAGGCACACCTGGTTATCTCTTCTAATATGATGTTGAAGCTGTTATCATTGCCTAGCTGCATTATTTCATTAGAAGTTCACAAAATAGAGATAAATTAACCCTATAATTCCATCATCTATGAGCTGGAATCTCTCTATAGAGAGAAACTTTCACTTACTTTTTGATTACCCTTAAGTTGTTAATACAGAAAAGATAAATGCTATTTCTTTCCCTTTATTAATAAGTATTCAGAAGTCACTTGTTTCTAGCATCCTTCGAAGGTGACCAATAAGATATTTTATTTTTAAAATTTTTTCCCAATAAGATATTTTTTTAAAGATGGTTTTTTAAAAAATTTTTGTCATGTTTTATTTATCTCTGAGAGAGAGAGAGAGAGCCAGCATGAGCAGGGGAGGGTCGGAGAGAGAGGGAGACACAGAATCGGAAGCAGGCTCCAGGCTCTGATCTAGCTGTCAGCACAGAGCCCGATGCGGAGCTCGAACCCACGAACCATGAGATCATGACCTGAGCCGAAGTCGGACGCTTATTTTTAAAATATCATCGTGAATTTATAGATTTAAAAAATTTGATTTCAATCCATTGCACTTGTAATTCAATCCATTGCACTTGCACTGATGCTCACATGATCTTATCTTCAGCCAGGAGGGGCCTCTTTGGGTTAGCCCCCACATCCTTGTGAATTATATACCAGCCATCTTTGATAGCTTCACTTCCTGCCATAGCATGACGTTCCAGGTGCATCTTGCACATCTCCTTGCCCACTTGCACCACTTGCCCCAGGAGCTCTGGTTCTTTTTAGCGGGAAAGCTGCACCCAACCCAGTTCTCCAGTCACCAGAGCTGTAAAAACGCAAATCTGACCACTCCCTTGCTCAAAGTCCTTCTTCCCACTGTCGCCCTCAAGACCAAGCCAATTCCTACGCACAGCAGGTCCTCAGTTACTGTTTCCCTGTTTACGGCTCCCTCCCACTTCCTAAACTTCAAACTTCTCCTTAAACTTCAAAACCCAGCAGAGGGGCGCCTGGGTGGCTCAGTCACTTAAGCGTCAGACTTTGGCTTAGGTCATAATCTCCTGGTTCAGGAGTTTGAGCTTGCTTGTTGGGCTCTCTGCTGTCAGCACAGCCAGTTTTGGATCCTCTGTCCCCCATCCCTCTGCCCTTTACCCTGCATGTGCGCTCTCTCTCAAATAAAAAATAACCAAAACACAGCAGAACCGAACTTTGCTGCTCCAGCACCTCCCCACACCGAGTCACACTCCTGGGCCTGTTCTCATACTAATCCTTCCACTTAGAAACATCCAGTCCTCCTCCTTTCCCTGTCTTAACCTCACCAGCTGTCTCAGTTTAACTCAATCTTAGAGCTTCAACTTCAGCTCAGGTGTCGTCTCCAAAACACACTTGAACGGCCAGGCAGGGCGGTCTCCCACTGTTGCCTCATGGCCACTGTGCTTACGTATGTGCAAAGATGTAACTAAGCACGTAACATCTCTGTGGAACTCTCCTGTGCAGCTCGGCTGTGAAGGACTAAAAAGCAGTAGTTGCCTTATCCATCTTTACCCTGGTCAGAGGGGACCAGTACATCGCCTGCTGCCTAGGAGGTGCCTTCATCTAATCGCCTGCAGGCGGGGCAGATGTTCTTGTCAGGGCAAAACATGCTTCCACCTCTGCCATCCACCAGTGCCTTCTTCACTGTAGTTCAGGCCTGCCCGTCCGCTAGGCATGGACTGAGCTGCTCTGCATTCATCTCTTCTGGTTAATCTGTATTTGGTGGGCTCGCTGGGGGGGGGGGGGGGGTGGAGACTAAAAGGGAGCTCACTCTCCTACTCTGGTGACAAAGATGGGGGATGGGGAAATTTTGCCTAAACCACTTCACTGTTTCCTAGCCAGGATGGTCAGGATGGAAAGGATAACATCAGCCGGGAGGCACCACCACAGTGTAGTGTTGCCTATGTAGAGCAACAGTGCAGAAGCAGGGGCTCTGGAGAAAGCCTGCTGGCATGCCCGTGGAAGTTAATGATCATATGTAGTAAATATACCACCGTCTTAGGCTGTCAGGAGTAGCTAACAAAACACGCAAAGCACTTTGCAGCGCTTGATTTATTGTAAGCACTACGTTGTGCCTTGCAGATAAAGGCAACAGGCCCCAAATAGAAATGCTTTAAAAAGTCTTTGATACTGGAGTTTTACAAAGTCTGCAAGACAAAAAACGTTGAGAAGAGAGCTTAAGGTACACTTTCCAAGTCAGGGAAAGTGGCTAACCATGGCTGGGATGGGGGTATGTGGAATCCAAGAGCTCAACTGAGTGTAACTTGAACCAGTCAGGGTAACCATCAGATCCTAAGAGGAAGCTCCGTGTCTACAGCGTACACAGTAACCAGAGAGCAAGCATACTAAAATGGAAAAACCTGATTGTAACATAAACAGGTTTAGAATCTCATAGGGACGCCTGGGTGGCTCCTTCAGTTAAGCGTCCGACTTCAGCTCAGGTCGTGATCTCAGTGTGTGTATTCAAGCCCTGCATCGGGCTCTCTGCTGACAGCTCAGAGCCTGAAGCCTGCTTTAGATTCTCTGTCTCCCTCGCTCTCTGCCCCTCCCCCACTCCCACTGTGTGTGTCTCTCTCTCTCAATAAATAAACTTAAAAAAAAAATTAGAATCTCATAAACTTTGAGGACAAGGATTTTTATAATTTTCACTGATGATTCCTAGCATCTAAAAAAGTCTGGTCATAGTAGGTGACCAGAGACTTGCAGAATGTGTAGATCATGATGCCTTTCCCATTATGCATCACCAAATTCCAAAGCTTGGCATCCACTGGAGCCATGTAGCTGCTACCACAAAGCACCTAAAGGCTGGAGTGGGGAGGACTGGAAAAGGGCCTGGGCTATATATTGGACAGGAAATTCCGAACACTTGTGGCAAGCTGGAGCTACAGAATGGGAGGCCTAATGGGGGGGGGGGGGGGGGGGGGGGGGGGGGGGGGGGGGGGGGGGGGGGGGGGGGGGGGGGGGGGGGGGGGGGGGGGGGGGGGGGATGGTCCCTGTTTTTTTCTATTCACCAGTCTGCTAAGTCTAGAGCAGAAACTTAATCCCGTTCCACTCCCAGGTCCCACTCAGCAAGTCAGACAGCAGCCAAGCCCGTGTTCAGCTGTGGCCTTGAACATAACACACAGCCACACCAGGAAATGTTAAGGAATTTATTTTTTACAAATTAAGACTATGTTGATTTCATATATTTCTGAATCAAAAACACCTTTGTCTTCACAGTATGAGTTAGAGAATGCAGCCTGAGCTGAAAACCAAGAAACTAGAAAAGAAAGTGATAATTACAGTGATTATTAAAAACCTGTTAGATATTTTCTTTAAAAGTAGTTTTTTATATCTTGTCATTCTTGGCACTGTTTCTAAAGAAAAAACTCCTTTATCCCAAGCAAAAAAGCGTTAAGAGGTGGAGTTTGGCTTCAAGAGATGTAATTCGGATTCTCAGGCCTAGCAGAGAATCAACAAATTTATGGAGAGTGCTATTGGGGGATTTAATGGAAAGAAGTCCCTTTAGTAAGTTCTCAAGCCGGGGGCTGGAGGCGGCAGCTAGATCAGAGGGCAGCGTCCTCTGCAGAAGCAAGCCATTCTGGGCAGCATGCCACTCCAGGAATACCAACACCCTGGGAACAAATCTTCCATGGGGTGGTACGGTGATGCGGTGTGCTGTGAACCAGTAGCCACCGGGTCAAACCGTGTGCTGGTTGTGAACAGGGAGAGCCCGAAGTGGTATCCTCCTGGCAATGGGCTTCCGATGGCTCAGTCCCCCTTACACTGAGGCTGTATGAGTAGCCAGTCACAACTGCTCTCGAGGCTGCCTGCCCTTCTGTGCCCGCTGACTGTGGCAGCTCCGTGGAAAGAGCTGGTGATCCCCATTAGTATCGCCCTAACACAACCACAAAGCTGTAGGAAATCAGAGGTCTTACAGGTTTGGTCACCTGGTCCCCTCCTGGAAGGTTACAGATTTCTGGGAACAGGTGAACAGCCCAAAAACTAAAGTGCATCTGTAAAATGAACGTTTATCTACTGCCCCAAATCTCTGGCCTGACACTACTGGCATCCAGGCGGAAGACAAAAATGCACTGGGCTGTTATGAATGCTGCCATCCAAGTCATCACCGCCCAGTTCTGCTGATCTGAACAAAGAACAATTCAGTTAGCAGTGATTTTCTCCCCGACTGCTCCAAACAGGTCCTTATCTAGGTTTTTCTGGCAGGATTAGTTTACAATTACCCTTAGGCTCAACCATGCCCCTTCCCTATTCTTCCTCTCCTGGGATCTTCAATCAAAGTCACTGTGGTGGAGACCACTCGATAACTAAGGTGAAAACCAAAATAAAGATGGGAAGTTAGGGAATTCTGTGCTCTATCTTGCTCTACATAACCAGCCTTTTCATAAATGTCTGACAAGAACCAGTCTTTCCTTTGTACTGAAATCCTCTCTCCTAATGGACAGAAACAGGCAGATTCCCTGACAGTCAGACAAGGGATGGGGAAAAGGAACACACAAATCCACATTCCTTTTATGACAGCAAGGCAGAGGTGTGTTTGTCAGACCAGCGGCGGCTTGGGCAGCTCAGAGGAAGCAAAGCATCCGCCAGGAGAGGCTCTTCATTTTCTCTGTAGGTGTTGACAGAAGCTCAGATACAATGAGCCTGAGTACAAAAAATGGGACCACCAAACTCCTTTCCCATGGAAAACACACTGCCTAGTCCCACAGGAACTGTGCACAAAGGAAATGATGCTGAGCAAAGAAGGGCCGAGGCGGCTCTACCAGTTCAGGTGCACCTGGTGAAGCTCGGCTGGAAAGAGGACTCCTGGAGTTTGCTCTGCTGTGGGTCCCACTCCTCATCACGGTGACTGGCTGCCTGAGCAGAGGAAGAGGCTAGGACTGGGCTGGACCGAAAAGGGAGTGGGGAAGAACCCCAGGAATACGAAGCCAAACTCCAAACTATATTCTGCTAATCAGTTTTTGATCAAAAAATTCAAAGTAGAGAAAACCACAAAGTACAAAAGCTTTTCTGATGCTTTTCATTATCACAGAACACACCACCTGTAATGTGTGCGAAGAGGAAATGAGGGGTGGAGGGAGAGGAGGTCAAATTGGGCAGGGCTGGAAGGTCATTTCACTTCTTCTCTTTCTTCTTATCCTAGAAATGGAGAAAAATTGCCCAATTAATTTTTGGCATTTTACATTCAAGCTAAAACTCCTGAGTGAGCCAATACCTGGCTGTGTTCAGTTAAGGACTGTAAGGGAACAAGACAATAAAAAGGGAGGAGAAATGCTTCCTCGGTGCGGGAGGAATTGAATCTTAACCATCTTCCGCTGGTGGTCCCTCAAGTTGCTGACAGACCTGACAGGAATTAAGGTTAAGCACCTGTCCCCACTCCCACTCCGAGAGCACCCAGCTGGGCCGCCTGACCACTCCTGGCTTACTCATAACCACCACAGCTCAGATCCCATCCAGTGAAAGCTGCAGACTGGCAGTCCACCCCAAAATAACCACACAGAGGCCAAGACCAACTTTCCATTAAGCCGGAGAAGCATAAATCCTGGGCACAAACCAACACCCAGAAATAATCTAGTCCAGTGAACTTGTCATTCAATCCTCAGTGGAAGCCCAGAGTATTAAACAGATGAAGTTCAGTTGCTTTGCCTAAAACCTGGTTGGAGCTGAGTCTAGTAGCCACACAGATAAGCCACCAATGCCACCTACTCATCTGCTTCCACCAGTACCACACTTCTCTTGTTTCCTAGTAAGAGCTATAAAAAAACTTCATGGTTTCATTTGTTCCCCTACTGCTGGGGGAGACTATGTATGATGCTCACTAACTAAACACAGAATGCTTCTCTGGAAACAAGACTAACAAACGGATAAAACTGGCCTACTTCTGACATACATTTATAAAAGCTGGTTGCCAAGATTAAACAAATCCCTCCTAGAATATCTTTTCCTGAGTCATAACCACCTTTACAGCCTTAAATTTTTCATATAGATTGTTTCTTGTTGCGACTGAAGCCTTTTTCTATTTGATACTAATCTCAGGGATTTGTTTTTTGTTTGAGCTTTGTTATTTTTAAGTAATCATTACATGCAATGTGAGGCTCAAACTTACAACCTGAGATCAAGAGTCCCCACCAGTCATCCCCCCACCCCACCCCCTTTTTAAAAGGATTTGTTTTACTTGTTCCTTTTTCTCCTTTGGCTAAAGACTTCTGGTAGCCTTAAAGTTAACCTGGACCTACACAGTTCATAGGTTTTCAAATTTGAAATATACACAGATGCTGAGCTCAGGATCCATTCTCTCATCTTTAGGTGGTCGGCTGACTAACCTTCTCATTCATAGCCAGGATCATCATAAGTTTTCTGAAGAGAGTAATGAAATCTAAGAAGAGGTCAACGCAGTGCCTGAAACAGAAGAACCAGAATACAAATTCGCATTTCCCATCTTCCTTCATCCACAGTCCAGAGGCGTAGAACATAAAAACCACATGTCCACCCCACGAGTGAACTTCAACACCCCACCACCAACTAAGTAAAACTCTGGTGTCTGAGATTCTTTGCAACTCAACAAAACCATGCAACATAACTCAGCTTTAGACTCTATAGGGGCCCTTATCTGAACCCTGAACTACCATTAACTAGTTAAGAAACTCTGAGAGGATTACTACATTAAAAAAAATTTTATATATTAAAATTTTATATACTAAAAAGAATGTGTTCTCCTCTTTTCATTGTTAAAGGTTCGTAAAATACAAATATAGGGATGCCTGGGTGGCTCAGTCGGTTAAGCATCCAACTTCAACTCAGGTCATCATCTCCCAATTTGTGGATTCGAGCCCTGCGTGGGGCTCTATGTTGACAGCTCAGAGCCCGGAGTCTGCTTCAGATTTTGTGTCTCCCTCTCTCTCTGCCCCTCCCCTGCTCACGCTCTCTCTTTCTCTCTCTCTCAAAAATAAATAAACATTAAAAAAATACAAAAATATAGAGCAAAAGGTGAAAAGATCGTTTTCTCTGTCCTACACCTTAAAAGTAAGGATAATTAAATGCATAATTATTAATTCAATTTTTAAAAGACTTGAGGTCTTTCAGGAATTGAGGGAGATTATGCTATTTGGTATACAGTTTCAAAAGCATGGGCATCCTACCATATACACTCCTGAAGGCTGGCCACGTAAGTTCAGCCAGTGCCACCTAGTCCACTTTTAACCCTACTGATGCAGACAGAAAGGGAGACGTTAAAGACCAGTTTTCACTCACCAGATGTAATCCTTATCTCCATTTTCGGCTTTTTCAATAATGAGTTGAGTATCAAAAAGGACGAAGCCACACATGACCACCAGCCCCACATACAGGTTTGCCTAACACAAGAAGAATGAGATGAGGTGACTATATTGTAGTCATATAGTTTCCAGAGGGAAAAACCAGCTGTACTTCTTTCTGGCTCTTGGTCACTTGCAAGTACAACAAATGCAAAGCCTAACGATACTAACAATCATGGGAACAAAAGCCTATGGTGAAAACCACATTACTTCCCTAGGCACAATTCTTCACTGCTCAGTGAAAGTGAGCTTTCTGGAAGATTCTAAGTCTACCCTGGTTTAGGGTGAAGCAAGAAAAAGAAGCACAAGGCAAATGGCTGCTGGAGAGTTATATGCAAAGTCTCACCTGGAAAAGCCAAATGGATCCAAAGAAAAGATTACCCAGGGAAGACAAGAGCATCAGGCTCATGGCTGACATCAAGACACCTGTAAGACAGGACAAAACGCCACCCTGAGAAAAGCCAAAGCAAAGTAAGGCAACCCCATTAAGGCCATTCCTTACTTTTCCCCCCAAATTAAGACTTTTAGTTTCAACCCAACAGTCACAAGAAATTGGAGGAAAGAGTCCCAGTGAGAATTCTGGCTAAAGCGGAGACCCTCTCTCTGTTTTCCAGTCTGCACTTACCTCCCAGAAAGAGGTAGCTGCGGCGCCTGGCATAGAGTGCACTCAGGGTGAAGCAGGTGAAGATCATTGCTGTGCCCATGAAGGCGGTGGGAAGAATGCTGTTAGAGGAAAAGATCATTAGATTGAGGACTATAGGTCTGCAAACCTATTTAGAAGGATTATCTGTGATGATAAAAAGACATTAAGATGTTACTAAAATAGTTACCTGGGATTGATGGCAATGCACAACTCCAGAGTAGGGCCCAGGCCAACTCCTAGAAAACAAAAAGCCCCAGGACACAGTATTACCATCAGCTCCTGAAGAGGACCCTTGTACAAGAGCTAACCATCAAAAGTGCAAGCATGCCCTGTTCTTAAAAAACAAACATGCATACTAAAGTAATTAAATCTCTCTCCTCCACCTTCCTTGTTTTTCAGAGAACATATACTTGACTGAGTTATTTATAGGCACAGCTACAAAACTGTCCTCTTAACTGAAAATCATGGATGACCCAGGATGAATACAGAAATGAAGGAGGTACATCACACATTTTCGAGCTAGGGGCACCTGGGTGGCTGAGTCAGTTGAGCAACTGACTCTTGATTTCGGAACAGGTCATAATCTCAGTTTGTGGGTTTAAGTCCCCCTCCCCCGCATCAGGCTCTGTGCTGATTCTCAGTCCCCCCTCCTCTGAAAATAAACATTAAAAAAGTAAAAAAAAATTTTTTTTCTTTTTTCAGTTAAGCTGTAAGGCTGCACTCCACTCTGAACAGGAGTGATGTTAGACAAGAATGTAGGCCAGATCAGGAATCAGAAGAGAAGGAACAAGAGCAAACCAGCACCTTGTGGCCAGCAACCTGTAGTCTTGCAGGGCGGACTCCCTTTGTAGAAAAGGCCAGACCGGTTCTGCAGGTGGACAGTGGCCAAGAGGAGGGTGCAGCGGCAACCTGTTGCAGCCTCAACGTTTCCTCCACTCTTGCTACGCTCTCTCCTTCTGATAATTCCACTCCTTAATGCCTTCACAAACTAGCTTTCCCTATTAAAAAAAATCTTAATCTCTAAATCCCTTCCCTTCTACTCCATCACTATATAGATTAGACACATTCAAAATGAGTTGTACTAAGTCAAATGCTACTTTGCAAATATTTTTACTATGTAGCTTGAGTCCTGTTTCCTTTAATAATAACTGTAGAAGGGCTGTGCTTTTAACTGTTTTCTTGAGAATCAGCAATGTGCTCTGCAGGATGGTTCTCGATGTATGGCTTTAATTAACTGTCAGCAAAGTTCAGAACTGATGGTCACAGGAGTGACAGTTGCCAGTCTGAGTCCAGTGTCAGGCTTAGTTATGCTACCTAAGCTCCTGAATCTCATTCATTCTCACACATAAATGCTTACTTTGGGATACAAAAGTGTAAATACAGTCACGAGTCATAAAGAGCTTATCCTCTGGATGGGAAAGCAAGATGTACCTCTATGAATTAAGAAAGCAATACAAGGCAAAATACACTCACATACAAGATTGAATAGTATGGTGTGCCAGTTGAGGTCAATCAGAATACATACAAATCTTGGGCCTTAGTCTAAAGAGATACTAGATACAGTACCCACTGATGCCCCAAATTAGCCCAATCCTTACCATACCTGTAAGGAAAGCAAATCCAGTAAGAAGTCCCAGTCTTTTTTGCTCAGTTTCATGGCTATGAGGTGTTGCCATCAGCCAAATCATCAACCCCAAGGAGCCCAAGGCAGAGAGCAGGCCAGCCTGTCAGATCCAGAGTAAAAAATTAAATATGAAAATATCAAATTTATTCTGCAGGAGACATTATGGGGATCAAATATTCATCTGAACTTCTTAATACTGGTTTCTAACCCGGAGGCAGTGGAAAAGGCAGAGGGGGCGGGAGGTAAGGAGAAACCAAAAGCCTTACAGGACAGGGTTAGGTGGGTTATATATAGTGGGTGTTAGAGGTTCTTCTGACCTGGGTAGTCTATCAGCCACAACTACCCAAGTCAAACTGTGATTCTTGCCCAGGAAAAAGATCAAGTGACAAGTGCTTGAAGCACATTCAAATCTGTAGGACAAGTAGAAATGACCTCTTTTTGATCACTTAAAAACATACACACACAGGGGTGCCTGGGTGGCTCAGCTAGTTAAGCATCTAACTTTGGCTCAGGTCATGATCTCTCAGTTCCTGAGTTCAAGTCCCGCATCAAGCTGTCTGCTCTCAGCACAGAGCCCACTTTGGATCCTCTGTCTCCACCTCTCTGCTCCTCCCCAGCTTGTTCTATCTCTCTCTCAAAATAAATAAACTTAAAAACACAAACACATAAACATATACACCTATATATACAGAGAAAAATGACTGAGAGGGTGCTACAAACTGCATGTTTATGTCCCCCCAAAATTCATGTTTAACTTTTAATCCCCAATGTGCTGGTATTTCGAGAGGTGGGGGTCTTTGGAAGGTGGTAAGGTCATGAGGGTGAAGCCCTCATTAGTGAGTGCGCTTATAACAGAGATCCCAGAGAGCTCCCTTGCCTCTTCTGCTGTGTGAAGACACAGCAAGAAGACGGTTATTTACACAGGAAGCAGGCCCTCACCACATAATACTATCTACTGGTCCCATAATCTTGGACTTCCAGCCTCCCAAACTGTGAGAAATGTTTGTCGTTTAAGCTACTCAGTCTATAATAATCTGTTAGAGCAGTTTGAATGGAGTAAGACAAGAGAGTAAGAACCAAAATGTCAACAGTTATTTCTGGGTGTGAGGATTATGGAGTTTTTATTTTTTCATCACTAGTCTGTTTTCCAAATTCTCTATAACGAACATACGTTAGTTTTGTAAGAAGAAAAAAAAATTCTTAAAAAATTCAAGTGGGAAAAGCTAGGTATAGAAAAAGAGGAAAATCATTAAGGAGGTATGTGGAGACTACAGTTCCTTTCTTCCTTTAAAGGTATAGCTGATCCTTGTTCTTCTTGTAGTTATGCTCTATAAAGTCACTATGAACAATGAATTAATGAATACTAAACAACTGCTCCTGAGGGAAATAAAAGGTTAGATTCTCGCGTACTTCTGATTATGTTTTCTTCAACTGAACAATATGTTTTACGTGTGTTTAAGGACACTTTGATATATACCGTTGATTCATTTATCTTGAAGGCATGACCAACAGCACTACAACTTGTGCTGTAACAAAGCTTATTTAACACACATATTTTCTCCATAAGACACATTACAGTCTTAGTGAACTTTTTTTTGCAGTTAGGAACACTTAGAAATACTAGATAGCATTCTAACACTATGCTTGGGGTCCACTTTAAACACTGACATCACCACCAAAATCACAAAAATGCAAAAAATGGGGCACTACACTGACCATGAAAAGGATCCTTGTTTATTAGTACAAGAGCTTGAAACAGAGCAGTGTGTTGCCTTGTTCAACCTCAGCTGGAACGTGTGAGATGCACAACTCAAATTTTTTGCCCCTCTACTTATGACTGCAAATGTCTGTAAAAGTACTGTGAGTACTGATTTTAGGGTTGCAGACACATTTTAGCAAGTAATTCATAAATACAGAATACATAAATAATAAGGATAACTGCATTTTACTATATTACTTAAAAAACAAAACAAAGCAAAACCCAGAAGCCAAAATGGCCACTCTTGCCTAAAAGGTGGAGTATGTTTTAGTCAAAACTCCAGGGATCAAAGTCTTATCCTTTGAGTATCTAGAGTAATTTTTCACACAACCTCTGCCAGGAGATACCTGAGCATAGGGACAGTTCTCAGTAGTGGCAAATGCCAACACAGACACAACCCCTGCACTTACACTAAAAAGGACACTTGGAAAGAACAAGTCTTGGTTAGTGAAAACTTCGATCTTTTTGGTTATTCCTCAACTGTCCCTTTTATTCCAACTGGCCAAACCCCAGGTCTCTTTCAACACAGGAAAGTGAGTCGTTGAAGGCTTTTACTCAACCATGCAGATATAAGAGCATCAGAGAATAAAATAGGTCAAGTCCTTGAAGGTCTCAACCCTGCTTCTCCTGATAAGCATACAATCAGTGTTTTGTATCTAAGAACTCCATAGTCACAGGCAGAAAAGAGGAAGAACGGAGGAAAAGAGAGATAAAAAGGCTACCATGCAAACCCCAGCAGTCACATCATGTCACTACTTAGCAGGTGGGGGTCGTACACGTCAGCTACCATCCTTCAGTGTCCACGTTAAGACATTCTGTTTTCAGTATCTAGAGGGCACAGCTGCCAAAAACTTGAAATGGCTCTACATGTCCTTATTGACCAGGTGGCTTTGACCAATTCAGATCACAAACTACAGGAAAGGATTAAGAAGGGATACAGGTTTGCACCACCCTGCTGAGCTGGTTTCAACCTAATGCAATTTGTACCACAGCAAACAGGAGAGAAACTGCTCTTACCTGAAGGAAATGAGTAACCACATGGACATAGGACCCAGCAGCCGCCACAAACATACAGAGGGCAAAACTGGCATAGACCTTCTTCAGGTGCTGCTGTGTCGAGGGGGTTCTAGGAAAGAATGTTAAACAGCCATCACTCTAGGACCAATCTCATTTCTAAGCTAACAGTCATTTCCCCCTCTCTTCATCCCAGGGCAGATGTGTAAGTTATAATAAAGAAAGAATGTTTTGAAAATAAGTTAACTGAGAATCTTAAATGCTGGAGAGGAGCCAGAGGCTCCAAATTATGATCAATCAGTATCCAAACTACAATAATTAAATGGTTTTTCAGTGACCACACAATAGCCCTTAGATCTGGGTGCTTTTTATCAGAGACTCTGGATTCTAGCAAAGCTAATATGTTAGTTTATACATACAAAAGTTAATAAAGTAGGAAAAGAAACAAGATATGAAAGGAGATGCGATAATAAACTACAGTCAAGATCAAAACACTTACATGTGGGAAAATTTTAAGAGCGCATCAAAGTTGATCTTCCGATCAAATATGTTCATGATGCCAGAGTCTGTGGGACACAGCCTCCACTCTGTAGAATTAAGGTAAGAAGAAAAGTTATTTTAAAGATACAAGATGTACAAAGTAACATAAACAACTTTCTCATGGAAAAATAGCACCACACAAGTTTGGAAAAATGAAACTATCTAAAATCCCACTGTCCTAACACAGTCATTTTCATTTTTATGTATTTGCTTCTAGGATACGTTTGCAATCATACTCAACCATTTAAAAAAATTTTTTTTAAAGTTTTTTATTTATTTCTAGGAGAGAGAGAGACAGCGTGAGCAGGGGAGGGTCAGAGAGAGAGGGAGTCACAGACTGAAACAGACTCCAGGCTCTGAGCTGGCAGTCAGCACAGAGCCCGACGCGGGGCTTGAACCCACGAACCGCAAGATCATGACCTAAGCGAAAGTCAGACACTTAACCGACTAAGCCACCCAGGCGCCCCCATACTCAACCATTTTAAAGAGGACAGAGGAAATTAAGCCATCTTCTTCTCCCCAAACTATTTTTTGTTATTAGCATTTAATTCTTTCGGAAGATAATTTGTCCTTTTAATAGTTTCTTTCTTTGAGAAATTACCAGTTAGCAATCTAGTTAAAGGGACCCAGTCACTGGAACATAAAGCAATTTTATGTCACTGTTTCAAGATGCTAGAGAATTCTCTCACAAAGGCACAGAACCTCAAAGATGAAGGAAGGGAGGGAGGAAGGGAGGAAAAGAACTAGGCCTGGCAATAGGTCTTGAATTTTAAATATATTCATGTAGAAACTTTCCATTTAGTGCATGTTAGAACTGAACTGAAAGAGATTTAGAATTTTAAAAAGAGAGAAGTACAAAAGGATTTTTTAAAACATAATTTCAGAACATTTCCTACATAAGAGTTGGAATAGTACAAAGAATTCCTATATACTCTATACACCCAAATTTCCTAAATGTTAGTATCTCCCCATATTTGCTGTAGCCCTGCCCTTTCTATATATAACACAATGTTCCTTGACCCCTTTACACTTCAGTGTGTACATCCTGAAAACTGATCAAAACCAGGAAATTAACAGACACAATTCTACTATCTGATCTAGAGACCTTAATCAGATTTTGTCAATTGTCCCAATATGTCACGGAAAAGACATTTTTAATTAAACTGTTCCCAGGTTACATTCCATCGACACCATTAAAGTTAGGCTTTTAAATTTTACTCCCTCCTCTATCTCACATGCAATCCTAAATAAATACATTTAAAGCTAAAACCTAATCAAGAATTTTCACCTTTCCTAAATAGCAATCATCCACAATCACCCAGATTCTTAATAGCCCCATGTCTACTCATTTCAAAGTGACAAAAAAATGGAGTGTGTGGGGGAGTATTAAAACACAGAAGGTAAGTAATTTGAAAGACAGGCCAACTACTCCTGCCTATTCTAATCAGGACCTAGCTCAATACTCAGCAAAATTAATCTGGGCAAGAAAAGTAATAGTCCCACACTGACTCCTGAGAAATCCTGCGCCCATGGAAAGATTCCATTCATCTAGCTCACATGGATCACTACCATTTGTTTACCGAGGCTTGCTCTCGCACACATGAAACAATTACAATGGCTAGCTGGCTTTCTCTTGATTTCCTCTTTCCTATCTCACCAACATGCCTACTCACCTCAATTTTTTTGTTAGTTCTGTTCTTAAGGATGGATACAGTGAGAAGCTGCAGAATCCACTAAAGCTGCTGCTTGCACCTCGAAGTCACAGGGCTCTGAGCCCTCTTGATCTAGATGGTGCAACTATTGCAGGCTTGTTGCACGGCCAACCACAGCCTTCCACAATCATGATGAACACATCCTCTAGAGAGCATACTTACAGGCTGGCAGAATCCAGCACCTGGAAAGTATCTTTGTTTTAGGCTTCCATTAACACCCCTAATGACATCCCTAGACAGAACTTGCAACAGTTCTGAAGCAACCTTCAGAGCCAAGTTTCTCAGTATTCACAACAACAACACTCAAGTACCTCTTGCTTCCAATTTCAAGAGTTAAAAAAAGGCAGTGAATGGGGTGTGCAGCGTAAATCCTCAAATACCCAGAGGACTGTTAGAAAGGGGCAACACCCTGTAAGCAGACCCCACTGAGTGGAAACAGTGGGAGGGGATAATGACAGAAACTCCTCTTTCCTACTTTGCTCTTAGGTATTTCCCAGGGGGTACTGACTGCCTCTTACAACTGCTGATGGAAAAACCAAAACTATCAAAAGGTTGTGAGGACAGGGAGTATCAAATAGGAATTTCTCCATCATTTAGTAATGCCTCGTAGTTTAAAATCATTAAAAAATCAGTTAAATAAAACCAGTTTTCCAGCACCACCACTGATTCTAAAATTTAAGTGAAATATGTAATTACCAACCTTTCTAGATGCAAAGGCACATAGCATTTTGAATAATAGGTTTATGAGGAAAAGCACAGTAAAGTATATACTTAATTATGACATGATGTATATATGATATAATTTATTTCAGAACTGTTAAAACATGAGGGGGGAAAATTCAGGTCTTAGAATCAAGGAAATATGACAGTTTGTTCTAGGTCTGTTTCAAATAGACAAGAACTAATGTACAGATAAGTAAGGAGTCAAAACGGCTCTTAGAAGTTTTGCCAGACGGATTATACTAACCAGGTCTCTATCAACTACTTGTGCTCAGAAGTTGCCGAGAAAACATATCTACATTTCAATGGTCAATATGCAAACAGCTGAACAAGATTCAATTGTACTCATAACTCAAAAATAGCTCCCCTACCAAAGTATTTTCAGTCCCAGCGAATAGTCAGCTCCTAACAGAGCTTGAAGTATTCAAAACCATTAGCCAAGTAACTCAGCTAACATTTCAAAGGGGCCCCCCAATTAAATGAAAATCTTTGTTTTTAAAAAAAAAATGTTAAAATGATGAGACTTACGTGTATTGTATGTTTTATGTGTATATTTTACCACAATAAAGGAAAAAAGTGTATTACAAGTTGCTCAAAAATTATTCAATACAATAGTTTCCCTAACACATATCAGCCCATTACAAAACCATACCAGCACTGATCTGTCTTACCCTGGATGACAACTCATACAAAAATTTAGAAATTGTATCCGCTCTCCCATTCCCCAGTTCTACACTCAAATTTAAACAAGGAGGTGGTGTTATTTATTTAGAATACTATGTATACGGTGCCTCGTAGACTCATGAGAAATTTGTATTGCATTTTAGAAGTAAATGTTCAGATGTTAATTATAATCAAATGCCTTTCATTTGGTTCAGAGCTTCATTTAATTCTGTCAACCTTAGGATAGCAGGAATACCAAACTTCTCAGAATTTGCCAGTATCTGTCACGCATATACTGCTAAAGCTTTGTTAGAAGCATCACCATTCTGTAATTCCTCTGGCCAGCTTCCCCTGCCAGAGGCACCCAAACACAATACAAAACTTACTGCACAGCTTTACCAAGAAAGAAAGAAAATACATTGTTTTGAGTTAGTATTCCTGAGGTCTCAGCAGAGGCAGACAGAAGACAGATATTCTCATCAACTAATATCCATGTCTTATGTCCTATTAAATCTCGTTTTGTTCTAGGTATTTCCTTACACTGTCCTAAAATGAAAAATTATCAAGGCCAAGCCTTTAAAAACAAAACAGAACAAAATTCTCTACAATCTTATTTTCCTATCTATTAAATATAGTCCACAGGAAACATGGCCAAGTGGCCAACAGCTATGCAAAACAGAAACAATCATGAATTAAAAAAAAAAAATCCTTACCTTTAAAAGAAGGCAGAAGGCTGTCTTGATGTATACAATTTAACAACATTAAACCAGCAAGTCACAGAAACATTGTTCACACATTTAATTAAAAATTTAGTTTGTGGGGCACCTAGATGGCTCAGTTGGCTGACCCTCAGACTTTGACTAAGGTCATGGTCTCACAGTTTCTGAGTTTAAGCCCCACACTGGGCTCTGAGCTGACAGCTAAGAACCTAGAGCCTCCTTCACATTCTGTGTCTCCTCGGCCCTCCCCTGAGTGTGTGCTCACACTCTCTCTCTCAAAAATAAACATTAAAAAAAAATTTAGTTTGTGAATTATATGGTTCCTCATTCCTGTTGTAATTCCACCATTCTGAGTCCTCTTCCCACACATCTAGAAGGGACCAACTGATATTTGAGAGAAAAGAAAACCCCATGTCATTAAAAAGGGAGGGCAGTGGGGGCGGGGGGTGCCTTGGGTGGCTCAGTCTGTTAAGTGTCTGACTTCGGCTCAGGTCATGATCTCACAGTACATGAGTTAGAGCCCTGTGTCGGGCTCTATGCTCTCAGCTCAAAGCCGGGAGCCTGCTTCAGATTCTGTCTCCCTCTCTCTCTGCCCCTCTCTTGCTCTAACTCTGTGTCTCTCAAAAATAAACATTAAAAAAAAATTTAATAATAATAATAATAAAGGCGTGGCAGGGAGGGGGGCAGAATTGTATTTTTTTCAATAGTTCTTCCTATTGAATAGCTTTCAGATTCTGTATAACCACGTACCTAGAATAGTGGTTAAGAGCATGTAACTGCATTTGAACCATAGCTGATATTTCCTTAGCTGTGTGACATGAAGCAAGTTTCTGGCACTTGAACCTCACTGTGCTTTAGTTTCCTCATCTGTATACAGTAATATGTAATATTCTCCACTTCATAGGATTATATGAGATAATACATATAGAGAGCTTAAAATAGTGCTTCTTGTGTAAGACCATTGTTTTACTAGTGTAAATATTCATTACTCTCATGTCCTTAGTGCATTAATTTCCACTAGTTTTAGAAAACATTAGCTGTAGGGGGAAAAACATAAGAAACTCGTTACTAATACAGAGAACAAACTGAGGGTCGATGGAAGGGGTTGTGGGAGGGGGGCTCAATGGGCAAGGGACATTAAGGAAGACAGACACTTGTTTGGATGAACACTGGGTGTTATATGTAGGGGATGAATCACTGGATGCTACTCCTGAAATCATTACTGTACTATGTACTAAGTTGGATGTATATTAAAATAATAATAATAAATAAGTAAATAAATAAAACACTAGGTTTGTAAGTCTAATTTACATGTGCCTTTTAAAAATATTACTCAACCATTAACTCACAGCTAACTATACCCTGCAGACTTAATATTTTACTCAAATAAGTAAAATTAAATGAGGAAGATGGGAGAGGACTCTAAGAGAATTATAAACTGGAATTTAAAGGAATTTAATAAATTTTATTACTGGATAACACTACTTTCGTTTAAATAGCATGCCTATCGTCGGGCATATTTACACGGTACCTTCTATCCCACAGGGCCACAAGGTGTTTTGAGACAGCCTAATAACCACTAAGTGATAATCCGATGTGGTAGAGAATTTGATGAAGTAAATGGTCATTAGCTTGATGCTTTCCTTGCTATCCCTAAGGGTAGGTCAGTTTGGTTTCAGGAAATCCAAAGAACTATTTCAAGCTCTGATGGTCCTGGATTTGAACCCTAGATGTCTCAGACCTTCCTTTAACTTGGATGAAGATTCTTGACTAGTTAGATTAGCTAGTTAACACTGAATTTTGTCTCACTATGGTGCTGCCTCAGAACCAAGCCAGTAACTAGAGATGTAATGCCTACTGCCTTCAATAAATTATTTTTTGCATCGAACTTTGACACTAGTGAATCCTTTTCTCCATAACCATGTTTGACAGACTGAATCATAAGGAGGCACCAATGTCCTAAATACATACTTGTCTTCCAGTGTAAACCAGTAATCCCTCTCCAATAACAACATATTTAGCCCAAATGAGAGCAGGCATAGATTAGGAAAAACATCACACCCATTCAATTCATATCCTTGAAGCTCTTTTTAAGTGTTTTGGACTCTAGTTAATTGTGCCAAACTTCTCTCACACATTTGGCTATAAGCACCCTGAGAACAGAGCTTGCATCTGATTCGGCTCTTTATCCCCCACATTTAGCACAACCAGGAGTCCCAGGAGCAAATGTAGACCCCATTATCTAATCAGGAGTGCTGCAGCCTCAAATCGACACTCCCCGTCTGGCTCAAAGGGTAACCTACCATGAGGGGTAACGTGAGTGGCCCTAAGAGCCAATCTCTACAGTCTTTGGAAAATAAAAACGGGTTTATTAAAAATGCTACTCCATGAAATTTGGTTAGAAACTCTGGGGGAGGGGCGCCTGGGTGGCTTAGTCGGTTAAGCGTCTGACTTTCGCTTGGGTCATGATCTCGCGGTTCGTGGGTTCGAGCCCACGTCGGGCTCTGTGCTGACTGCCAGCTCAGAGCCTGGAGTCTGTTTCAGTCTGTGACTCCCTCTCTCTCTGACCCTCCCCTGCTCACGCTGTCTCTCTCTCTCCTAGAAATAAATAAAACATTGAAAAAAAAAATTTTAAAGAAACTCTGGGGGAACTGGGGCACCTGTGTGGCTCAGTCGGTTAAGCTTCCGACTTCAGCTCAGGTTATGATCTCACAGCTCATGTGTTCAAGCCCCACGTCAGACTCTGTGCTGACAGCTCAGAACCTGGCACCTGCTTTGGGTTCCGTCTCCTTCTCCCTCTGCCCCTCCCTGCTCAGGCTCTGTCTCTCCCTCTCAAAAGTAAATAAACATTAGAAAAGTTTTTTTTTTAATTTAAAAGAAAACAATTACATCTCCATTAAAATAAAAAAGAAACTCTGGGGGAACAAAACAGGGTGAAGTGGAAGACACTTCTAACAGTGCCTACAACCAAGTCAAAGTAGCAAAGGAAAATTTAGCAGATAGAACATCAAGAGAATATTCATTATTTTCCCAGAGGAGTTTAATACCCACAGGTAGTTTATGAAATAAAGTGAAACTTCAGGCCAGCAGTGGTATCTTTTATAGTGCCACTAACTACATTTATATAAAAATTTTACTTTTAAAGTGCTTATACATATGTAATCTCCTTTGATCTTCACACCAATCCAGGAGCAAAGGGCAAAAATGATTAGTATCCCTTTAAAAAGAAAGTTAAAAAAGGTAGCGTAATAGTGAAAGGAGCACTGGCTTTGGAGTCACAAATCCTGCCATTTTCTACCTCATAATTTTGGGAAAATCATTTTACCTAAGATCATCTATCTAGGCTTCCTTATCTGCTCTACTTGCTCTACCAAGCTTATTGAATGCTGGCGAGAAAATCTGTGGGACGTAAATAAAAAGTACAGCATAGGGAATGTAGTCCATGAGACTGTAACAGTGCTTGTATGGTGAGATGGAAGCTACACCGGCAAGGAGCACAGCATAAAGTATAGACTTGTTGAATCACTATGCTGTACACCTGAAGAGTAGTGTAACACTGTGTCAACTATACCTCAATTAAAAAAAAGGAAGAAGAAAGTCTGTGTGAAATCATTGTAAAGTACTAAAGGGACAAAAGGACACTAGTATTGACCGACACCACAAAGTTAAATAATGGAACCAAAGCCAGATTAGGGGCCTTCTGACCTCTAATGTCTGGTGCTCTATTACACCCTACAGCAGAAAATCAAGTTTTCATTAAGGCAGTTCCAGCCATTGACAAAGAGAAATCTTAAAAATATTAACACATCCTGATTCCTATTACACTCTTCTATATTTTTCAGCACTTTTGCAATAAACATGAACTCTATGCATAACCAGAAAAAAAAAAACTGAAATGCTGACTAAATATCTGGATTAATTTTACTTTCCTATTCTTAGGACAGTAAGACTTCAGTCACATCAATAGTGGGAAAGGGAGAGAAGTAGAAAGGGAAACACTGAGCCATGTTTCCACAGATAAAATGGAAGAAGGAAACTCTGAATCCAAATTACAGAGTGTTTCTCAAGGATTCAACCATTCTGTCTCCACTGGAGAAAAATGGCAGAGAATCTAAGTACAACATATTCTTGAAGTCAGAACAAAAAACACTAGACAAAGATAAACCATCAAAGAGAGTAAACTTAATAATTACAGAAATAGGTGTATTTGCAGAAACCATAAGAATTTAGTTATGCAACTTGAATAATCTTTCTTGAACTGAATTCTTACCCAAAAGATAAACGAAAACTGAGTATCAATAAATAACTAGAAAAGCCTATTCGCTATTAACTTTTAACCTTAAAAATCTTTGTTTCAGGCAGAGTCAGCTCTTCTACAGGGTTACACATTCACAAGTTAACTATTGCTAGAACAGTCAAGTTCAGAGTGGTTTTTGTTATTGTTTAGTCAATGAAAGATTGATGGGGTAGGCAATGCATTCTGGGCTGGCACTAGGTAACAATTCCATACTTAAAAATACAAAATTACCAAAGCCTACTTACTACCACAGACTCAGCAAGTAGGTCCAAGGAAAAAACCACCACCCAACGACGCCTTTCCTGAGCGGGACTTTGAGAAAGTCGACCACAAGGCTCAGGATCAAGCAAAGCCAAGGCCACCTCACCTGTTCAAAGGTAATCAATCAGGCCAGAACGGGGCTACTCTTTGGGGCTGGAAAGCCAGAAGGATTTTCTCACCTCCTGCCTCGGCTTTCAGCGTGTCACAAAGGAGTGTAGTGACATCACCTGACTGGCCGTGACAGGGCAGCCTGTCTGACCAGGCCGTTCCTCGAGTCCTGGCCCTCGCCGCTCACTCAGTTAGGGTCGGCCAGAGGACCAGCAGCAGAGCAGCGATCAGTCGAGTGCGGCAAGGGTGACCACAAAGCCGTGAGGTTTCGCTTTCATTAGCCTTGGAAGAAAGGGGCGGGGGACGTGACCTGAATTCAAGTATTCGAGGCTGGGCCAAAGGGCCCCTGCGCCTACTCTTGGAGGCAGGGAAAAGAGAAAAACCGCAGAGTGGGAGGGAGGAGGGTAGGAAGAGAGACTAACCATGACCCTTCGCTGGCACTCGCGAACAAAATCGGAGCCTCGAGACCCCCCAAAACCTGGCAGACTCGCCACCGCCCCTCCCCCGCTCCAGCACGGTTGCGCATGCGCAGTGCTAGTTCCCGATCTCCTCCCCTCCCCGCCCAGCTTTCCGGAGTTGCCGTCGCGGAGCAGGGCCCCATTCCCCGAAGGTTCAGTCTGTAGGAATACCGAGACTATTCCTACTCTTGCTCAGACAATAACTGCTAATCCCCTTTCCATTTCTCACTCCCAGCTTGCGCAGTCCAGCTTCAGATAGATGTTCTTACCAGACTCTTAGGAGCCCACACAGCTCTTCTAACACCGGATGTGCTTCTGACTCTCCCAGGGTCCTGTCCAGACTCTTCACTCAGCGTCTGCCAGTAGTAGGAAGCTCCGCCCCTGAGTTCCGCTTAAGGCCAGTCCTCATTGGCCGCTGGCCGCACCTCTACCTTCCCATTGGCTGTACGTGCGTAAACAACGGCTGCTTACTTTAGAGCCATTCGCTACTGCCCTTGTCGATCAAGACCCTGGCCGCCAACCGGTGTCGTAACAAAAGGTCTCCGCCTCTTCTACATAGTTGGGAAAGACCGCGGTCTAAAGCCGCCCCTAGCGGAGGAAGTGAGGAGGGACAGGCCCCACCCAAGATACCTGACAAGTCACGGAGCCCCCACATGCGAGACGGGATAGCGCGGCAAAGTCCCGGGATTCTAGTTTTAAGCTTCTCATGGAATGTTAAAGCGGGAAAGAAATCAGATAACATGTAAAAAAGGGCTCTAACAGAGGTCAATCTACCTTTAATCTTGCCGAGTTTAGGCTTTAGAGCACTCCTGTAGGCTCAGCGAACTATCCAGGAATGCGAGGAAAATATAGCAGCCCCAGTCCTGCATCGGAAGCACCGACACCCTCTAGCCCAAGAGATGGTCCTGGGGCCGAGGGCGGGGCTGACGGGCTTCCAGGATCACCTTGCCTGCTCGCGGGAAGTGGGCCACAACTTCACAATCACTTCGGTCTGTGAAGTAGGGAGTGGGAACGAGGGTGGCGACCAGGCAAAGCTGCGCAGGCAACCCGGAGAAACTAAACCAAGAGAAATCAGAGGGCTGGAGTTCCCCCAAGGGCTTATCCCGGACCAGAAGCACTACCTATGTAAGAACTCATAGTAAGGAATAGTGAAGCTGATTTAAAAAAAAAAAAAAAAAAAAAAAGGTTTCTACACTATACCAAATTTTTAAACTCATTTTTACTAACCTATCTAATATCGCTATGAGAATAGTACAAAATTGACATATGAAGAGGCAAAGACTATGCAGTTAAAAAATGGAGTAAAAAAGAGCTTATAGTGGTTGCCAGGCAGTTTAAAATGTTCCTCCCGCATCCCCCCGGATTGTGTGATGTTTGTTTTTGTCAGCATTTTAAAGTAGGCAATGATTTCTTTTTCTTATTCTAAATAAATATTGGCTTATTACATAATTTCATATTCTATTTTTTAAATGCAACCCCACAATTGTATATGTTTTAGGCTGCACAGAATATAGATTCACCTCTGTCTCTCATTTTATTTGTTTTAGTATATTTTTTAAAGCTTATTTATTTATTTATTTATTTATTGGGGGGGGTGGGCATGCATGTGGAGGGGCAGAGAGAGAGAGGGAGAGAGAATCCCAAGCAGGATCCTTGCTGTCAGTGCAGAGCACCCTCCCCTCCTTGGGGCACAAACTCATGAACCCTGAGATCATGACCTGTGTTGAAATCAAGGATCAACAATGCTTAACCAACTGAGCCACCTAAGCACCCCCTGGCGTCCATTTTATAGATGAGAAAACAGATCCCTGGACAGAAAACATTCTGGCAAAATAAGGCAAGAAATTTATTTATTTTTATTTTATTTTTTAATGTTTTCTTTATTTCTAGGAGAGAGAGAGAGAGAGAGAGACAGCGCGAGCAGGGGAGGGTCAGAGAGAGAGGGAGTCACAGACTGAAACAGGCTCCAGGCTCTGAGCTGGCAGTCAGCACAGAGCCCGACGCGGGGCTGGAACCCACGAACCGCGAGATCATGACCTAAGCGAAAGTCGGACGCTTAACCGACTAAGCCACCCAGGCGCCCCAAGAAATTTAGATTAAGCATTGGATCAGTGGAGATGAAATCAGAATCCAAGATTTAGGAAGTAAGTTTCTAGAAGGATAGAACAGTTATCTTTTTAGTAAAGAATACAAATGTGCAGGATATGATTCTCAGTACCCAAACTCAGGCATGCAATAAATACAATTTTACTTTCTTTTTTATATAGTTTATTGTCAAGTTGGTTTACATATAACACCCAGTGCTCATCCCAACAAGTGCCCTCCTCCATGCCCATCATCCCCCTTCCCCTCTCCCCTACCCTCCTCAGCCTTCAGTTTGTTCTCAGCATTACAATTTTACTTTCCTTTTTTTTTTAAATAGTTTATTGTCAAGTTGGTTTCCATATAACACCCAGTGCTCATCCCCACAAGTGCCCTCCTACAATTTTACGTTCTATAGTACAACCTAATATTTACCCTGAACCTCATTCCATCAGAGTGGGTGAAAACTTCCTTGGGGTTTCTCTCCCTACCCCACCCTAATTTCTGCTACATTTCTTGGGTAAAATGCTTGGTAACGGGGCCTATCTGGTTCCTGGTCATCAATCCACACAGGTTGCTGCAGGGGTTTTTACCTTTGTACTAGTGCAGCAGCTCTATATTCCATGTCATAGTTTAGGCACAAGAAACCTTTTGTCAGGCTAATGTTGAATTCTCTGCCTAAAAGAATAAGTTGCTAAGGGTTTGGTCTGCATAGTATTGACCAACATAGGTTTTTCATTCATTGATGACAGATTATTCATTCCCTTTCTGGTGCATGGTCTCTCATAAGATTGCAGTCAAATGTCAGCAGGGGTTGCAGTCATCCAAAGGCTTGACTGGGGCTGGAGGAATTCCAAGGTGGTTCACTCATATTGCTGACAATTAAGTGCTAGCTGTTAGCTTGGAGACCTGGGTTCCTCTGCATGTGGGGGCCTAAGTTCCTCCTTAGGGCTCTGTGAATGTCCTCACAGCATGAGAGCTGGCTGCTTCTTCTCTTTCAGGGTGAGAAATCACAGTGACAAGGAGAGCTAGACGGATATTCTTTTTACAGTTTATCCCCATAAATCACACAGCAATCATTTCCTTTAATAACAGCCTATTCCAAGGCTCCTGCCCTGGGTCATGTGCCACAGAGGGCCTCATACTTTGGAAGACCTTCCTGAAAATTTTCTAGGTATCCCTCATTTGTCTGGGACCAGTCAGGGCCAGCAGTACTATCAAAGCTGAGCCCAGACCAGGCCCTGAATGAGCCCTTGTCCCAGTTTCTCTCCTTCATGACATTCCCCAATCCTAGGTTGCCTGAGGAGCTCTGGAACTTATGTCGATGGGGTCATCCCAAGCCCCTGAGACCAGGTCTCAATTTTAAGAGGGCATCCTGATGAGCCAATTACTCTTGCAGGCTGGTACAGTATTCCTTTTGGGGAATCAGGTGAGACTGAGTCTCCAGGGTGGGGGTGACGAGACTATTTAAGGTCACATAGAAGATAAGTTCAGGTCTCTGGACCACAAACTGAACTGCACCAACTTTTGGACTTGAGTTGTGTGTATGGGTCCCTGTGTTGACCCTCTCAGTATCTGACTATGCAACTACTTGTGGTCCATTGCATCAGAGGACAGTAGAGTAGAAGCAAGCTACTTTTCTCTTGTACATCACCATATGCCACCAGCCCCACTATCTACCCCACCACTGGCACCCAAGGTAGTAACTCCATTTCCTCCAAGGACCCTGGGACATAAATCAGGCAGTCATCCGGGAGTAGCCTCACCCTTCTCCTCCTATCACTTCAAGGTGCTTTTGAGACTGTCACGGTATCAACAGGCCCTTTCCATCTGATGTCCTCTTTTGTTTCTGAATGATGTTTTGATAAAATGCCCTCCCCATGTCAGTCTTAGGTTCATGAAGCATGCACAGATGAGATGGCATCACTCCTCTTGCGGCTCCCATGGATCCCTAACATATATTCCCTGTTGGTGGTGGTATGTGGAAGACAGCAATGTAGTCAACATTGAAAGAGATCACAGTCTGGGAATGCTGTGATTATAGTTTATAGAATACAAAAGAAGACATGGTTGGAAGAGGTGGTGTTCCATGTTTATGGTATAAAATTCTGAATGAAAATTTAACATGAGCATACAAAAAATTATTGTTCAAAATTTCCTGCATATTGGGGTAAGACTTTCATTTGTGGTCATCATCAACAGAGCACTTTAATAATTTTTGGGAGAGTCATGGGCAACATGATGAATGATAAAGTGTCATGAGAAATGACATAACCAGGAGTATATAAATAAATAGTATATAAAATATAAACTAAATAGTATATAAGAACTACATAGACAAGAATATCTTTATTGTTTCAATATAAAAAGTTTCCAAAGAGCCATGGTATTGTATTAACAGTGTTACTATGTTTTCTCCTTGTAGGTGATAATGAAAGTAGCCAGGAATGGCATACTTGACAATAAAGAACATGAAGAAAACATGGAGCGGGGAGTAGGAAATAGGTGAAGGGGATTAAGAGGTACAAGCCCATACTTGTACAAGCCTAATCATTAAGCTGTACTGCCTCTCATTGTAAAATTGACATATATTGTTAATGTAATTTTGTGAAAGTTTGTGTGTGTGCGTGTGTGTTAATTTAATAAAACCTTTGAAAGAATAGGACAGTTGTGCTTGAGTTTAAGCGCTAGGGATGTGTAAAATAGTGGGGAAGAAGGTGAGTAGATTGCAATAGATTATGCATTCCAGAAACTGGGAAGTAGGATGTGGCAGAGTTAAAGAGGAGATAGAAAGCAGGCTGAATTCCTCAGCCTAGGGCAAGGGAAAAGGAGAACAAGGAAGGAGAGAGCAAGCTGGGAAGGACTTGGGGACCTTGGTCTAAATTCAACCTTAGCAGAGTCGCTGTTTTCCCAACAAACAGAGATAAACATGGCTCCCCTGAAGTCATTTTTTTTCTGTATCTCACACCTTTCCTTGTCTACTTTTACAACCTCAATATCTCATTTTGATCTCAAATGCACTGACTTTGTTCAGCCCAGTGGTTATGAGAACATGTGAGCTCACAGGAATGGAACACATTAAAATCCACACCATCACTTAGAAGTGTGTGTATTGAATACTCCACTTAAGATTCAAGAGGAGCCTTTTCAGTTCCCAGATCTCATTTGTATATCCGTTGACACCTGAAAGACAGGAATAAAGAAAATGGAGTTTTCTTTTTCCAATCTCAGTATTATGGGCTATTATACTGTAGATTAGCAGGAGGAAAAAACCCTAAAAAATACAGCTTGCAATATTTTTTAATATCACTTCAGCCCCTTCTAACTTTGGAAAGCATTGATAACAATAACAAGAGTATTAGAACACTTTACTCTTGGGTCACCTGGGTGGCTCAGTCGGTTGAGCATCTGACTTTGGATCAGTTCATGATCTCACAGCTTGTGAGTTCCTTCCCTACCTCAAGCTCTGTGCTGACAGCTCAGAGTCCGGAGCCTGCTTTGGATTCTTTGTCTCCCTCTTTCTCTGCTTCTCCTCCATTTACACTCTGTCTGTCTCTCTCTCAAAATAAACAAGCATTAAATTTTTTTTTAAAAGAATGCTTTACTTTAAAAATTACACTTTTCGGGGCACCTGGGTGGCTCAGTTGGTTAAGCATCTGACTTCAGCTCAGGTCATGATCTCACAGTTAGTGGGTTTGAGCCCCACATCAGGCTCTGTGCTGACAGCTCAGAGCCTGGAGCCTGTTTCAGATTCTGTGTCTCCTTCTTTCTCTGACCCTTCCCTGCTCACGCTGTCTCTCTCTCTCTCAGAAATAATAAATTAAAGGGGCGCCTGGGTGGCTTAGTCGGTTGAGCGTCCAACTTTCACTTAGGTCATGATCTCACGGTACGTGGGTTCGAGCCCCACGTCGGGCCCTGTGCTGACTGCCGGCTCAGAGCCTGGAGCCTGTTTCAGTCTGTGACTCCCTCTCTCTCTGATCCTCCCCTGCTCACGCTGTCTCTCTCTCTCTCTCCTAGAAATAAATAAAAAACATTAAAAAAATTTTTTTTAATAAAAAAAAGAAATAATAAATTTAAAAAACATTAAAAATCCTGCCCTAGAGTCGGGCGTGAGAGTTAAAAAAATAAAAAATAAAAATTACTCTTTTCAAAGTAATTTTCCCACTGTTATTTCACTTTCCATAATAACTCAGAAGATAATGCAGACCTTCATAATCTCATTTTACAGATGAGAAAACTGAAACCCAGATTCACTTAGTTTCCTCAAAGAACTATCATAGATGCTTCATTCTTGGAAGTAATTAGCTCTTTCCATATTATTGTGGACTTTCTTTTTTTTTTCCTAATATTTTTATTTATTTCTAGGAGAGAGAGAGAGAGAGAGACAGTGTGAGCAGGGGAGGGTCAGAGAGAGAGGGAGACACAGACTCTGAAATAGGCTTCAGGCTCTGAGCCGGCAGTCAGCACAGAGCCCGATGCGGGGCTCGAACCCACGAACCGTGAGATCACGACCTAAGCGAAAGTCGGAAGCTTAACCGACTAAGCCACCCAGGCGCCCCTCACTGTGGACTTTCAGTCTGAGTTTCAGATCAATTACTTCAGTATTTCCCAGCATTCTAATGTCCACATTCTTCTATTCCCTTACCGTTTCCAAGGCCCAAACACTTGGCCAGCCTCTTGTTCTGCTTATCCTGGTCCTGTTTCTGTCCCGTAGCATGGGTAGAAAAGGTACCACACTTGCATAACAATTGCTTACTTACTGCCTTGACTCCTGTTTGCTGTTCACAACCCATGATCCAATCTTTTCTTTATCCTTAAGGCATTGATATACCTTTTTTTCCTTGCTTTATGGCGATGGTTTTCAAATAGGTCCACACATTCTTTGAGACTTCTCCCTTCAAGAGGTAGAGCCTAATTCTCCTCCCTTTCAGTGTAGGCTGTACCTAATGACTGCCTTCTAATAAATACAGTGAGGTGGAAATGATGAAGACCAGGGAGACCCTATCACAAAAAGCACTGTGGCATCCTCTCTGCTCTCTCTCAGATCACTCATGGCCAGCTGTCATGTCAGGAGGACACTCAAGCAGCTATGTGGAAAGGCCCAGGTGGTGAGGAATTAAGGCCTTTTGCCAACAACTACCAAGGAATTGAGGCATCCTGCCAATAGCCATGTAAGTGAGGCTTCTTAAAAGCAGTCAAGATTTCTGGTGACTGTATCCCCAGGCAGTAGCTTTACTGGAACCTCATGAGAGACCCTAAGCCAGGAGAACCCAACTAAGCCTGTCCCGTATTTCTGACTCTTAAAAACTGTAAGATAATAAAGTTTCTCTTTGTTTCAAGCCTCAGAGTTTTGGGTAATTTGTTAGGCAGAAATATATAACTAATACTCTTACTCGATCCTTTCCTGATTCCAGCTGAAAATGTGACAAAATGAGGGTCTCACAGCTTGGGCACACGAGGGCATTAACCATTAGTGTAAAGAAGGAGCTAAACGGTGAGGTGATCCCATGGAAGGACTAGGCGCATGACCCTATTAGTGTTTTAAAACACTCATTCTAGCTGATTTGTGGCAAATGGATTGTAAGGGAACATGAGTGGCCTCCCAGAAGAGAATTAGGCTATCAGAACAGAACAAAGGACAGAAAAAAAGGGCTTGGAAGGAGTGGCAACTTGTGAAGATGGAGTGAAGCACAAGAATACCTTCATCGTATGAAGAGGTTTGTGTTTTGTGTGTGCAGAGGGCTGGAGGGGGGAGAACAGCCTGGCTTCTGTCCGAAATCACTTTCTTCAAGGCACCAATGCCTTCTAACTGCTAAATCTAAAAACCAAATGGCCTTTTTCTAACCCTTCTCCTTGAAACTACTACTTACTTTGGCTTCGCTGGCACAGCACTACTTGGCTCTCCTTCAGCTTCTCCTTCACTGTTCCATTTCCGTCTTTCCTCTTGATTCCTCCATAGCTATCAGCAGCAATACATCCTCTCTCTTACTCAGGTTGAAACTTGGAGTTATTCTCAACTCTTCTCTGTCTCTTCTTTCCTTAACAAATATGTGTCAAGTCTTTAACAGGCATCAGAGTCTATGTTAAACATTAGAGATGTGCTTGTGCAAATCACTATCGCCTCAAGCCTCTATGGAGTTGTCACTCTAGTGGGAAAGACAGGTGTCAAACAATCAATCACATAAGTGAATATATACAAGGAGTGTAGGGGTTTCTTTCCAGTCTGTCTCTGCTTTAATTACTTAATAGCATTATTTAGGTATAGTTGATGTATAATAAACTGCATATATTTAAAAGTTACACTTTCATGAGTTTGGACATGAAATCATCATCATAATCAAGATAATGGACATATCTATTATCTTCCCCCCAAACTTCCTCATGCTCCTTCATAATCTTTCCTGCCTTTACCCTCCCTTATTCCTAGGCAACCACTGAGCTGCTTTCTATCAGTGTAGATTAGTTTGAACTTTCTAGACTTTTATATAAGTGTATTCATACTGTATGGCCATATCATTTGGTCTCTTTTAATCGGCATAATTATTTGAGGTTTATCCATCATTATAATATCATAGTTCTTTCTCTTCTTTTTATTATCTCATTGTATGGATTACCATAATTTATTTATCCACTCACCTGGTGATGGGCATTGGGATTTTTACCAGTCTTTTGCTAATTCCAAAGTGCTAAGGACATTTGTATGCCAGTCTTTGTGTGCCCATGTGGTTCCTTTTCTTTGGGGCAAATATCTAGAATTAGAATGACTGTATCACATGGTATGTGTAGGTTTAACTTTTTAAGAAACTAATAAACTGTTTTCCAAAGTGGTTATACCATTTTACATTCCCAACAGTATATGAGAGGTCCAGCTTCTACACATCATCACCAACACTCAGATCAGAGTTGTTTAATTTTAGGTGGGTAGTGGTATCTCATGTGGTCTTAATTTGCATTTCCCTAATGACTAATGATATTGAATGTCTTTTCATGGTGTTTATTTGTCATCCATATATCTTCTTTAGTGAGTGATGTGTTCAAATTTTTTGCCCATTTTTTTTTAAAAATAGGCTGGTTGTTTTCTAATTATTCATTTTTTTTAGAGTTATTTATGTTGTATGGATACAAGTCCTTTGTCAGGTATGTGATTGCAATATTTTCTCCTGGCTTGTGGCTTGTTTTTACTTCTCCTAACAATGCCTTTTGAGGCACCTGGCTAGCTCAGTCAGTGGAGTATGCAGCTCTTGGTCTTGGGGTTGTGAGTTTGAGCCTCATGTTGGGTGTAGAGATTACTTAAAAATAACAAAATCTTAAAAATAAGCAAACAAAAAAACAAATGATGCCTTTCAAAGAGCATTGGTTTTTAACTTTGATGAAGTCCATTATGTCAAATCATTCTTTTACAGACTGTGCTTTTGGAATCATAGCTAATATTGCCTCACCCAGGTCACAGAAAAAGGCAAACAACAGCCTGAAGGAACATACTAAAGGAACCAAGACTAAAGACTAAACCAGCCACTGGGGCAAGCATTGGGCACAGTGAGTGGGGAAAGAGGAAATGACCCAGTTGCAGATGACAAGACTTTGGGTGGATTTCAGACTAGCAGGTTAGTTAGCAT